CAAGTGATCCCATCAGCCCAGGAGGCTGAGGCAGGAGGATCACGAGTTCAAAACCAGCCTCAGCAAAAGCAAGGCACCAAGCAACTCAGTGAGACTCTGTCTCTAAATAAAATGCAGAATAGGGCTGGGGATGGGGCTCAGTGGGCAAGTGCCCCTGGGTACCAAAAAAACTCTGGGTCCTGCCCTGGGTGACCGTAGGCCTCTGCCCCTCTCTGCTTGGTGCCTGTTGGTGAGGTGTGGGCCTGGGTCACGGAGCAGGAGTGGGAAATTCGGGAGGCAGAACTGTGGACCCTACTTCTGCTCCTACAGAACACAGCAGCTTTGATCCGCCATTGGCGCCACCTCCCTGTGCCTCCCACGGGCTGTGGAGCCGAGCTCACTGGGTGGGGGATGGGCCTCTGTGGTTCTTATCAGCTCCTGCCAGAGTCAGGGACTGTGCCAGGCCCTGGGGCCACAGAAACTAATAAAAACCACAGCGTGGCTGAGGAAAGCCAGCCCAGAGTGGCACTGGGCCATGTTTTGAAAGTCAGTCCAGGGAGATATCCAGTTTCTAGCTAGAAAACGGGAACTCAGAAAGGTTAAGAGACTGCCCTGAGGTCACACAGCGGATCAGGAGTCTGAGTCTCCCGATGGCCTTGCTCTCTTGGCTCTAACTCTGTTCCCAGACTTCTTCCCTGTGGTCCAGGACCTCCAACCAGACCAGGCAGAGGCTCTTGGGACACTTACGTCGAAGTTACCAATCGACGAGGACCCCCGGGTCAGGCTCAGCAATCTGTGGGGGAGGGGGCGGTCAGAGCCACAGGACCTGGCCCTGGAGAAGGGGGGTCCCAAACCCCAACCCCTCCCTGAGGCAGCCTTCGGGTGTCCGGAGCCTCTGCTCGCACGTCACCCGTGAGGGACGGGACCCCCCTCTTGACCGCCCCTTCTGTGCCCGCAGGGTCTCCTGACCCTCCTCCCCAGACACGGCTCTGGCTCCTGCCCAGGCCAGCTAGGTGAGGGGTCACGGCCAGAGGGTCAAGTTCACGTCCTTGCTGGACCCAGGGTAGGAGCCCTCGCCCAGCACATCTCCCCATAGGCGCCGTGGGAGGGTGCTGGGTGGTCTGCCTGTCCACTCTATCCCCTTCTTAGTCCAAGGCACTGAGCAGAGCAGGACCCAAAGCCCCAAGGGAGCCAGTCCAGGCCAGGCCAGGTGACCAGACCATCCCATCTTTCAGTCCCTGTGATGGGCCCGCAGTGGGTCATGTGACCCACACTGGATCCCAGCCTGGGTCATCTTATTGGAACCGTTCTCCTGTGGTTAGGGTCGCTCTGCCACCCCAAGGGGAGAGGAGCCACAAAATGGATAGTCAGCTCAAGGGGAGGAGGGAGTCAGATTCTTGAGGACTTGTGTGTCTGGATCAAACCATGCCTGAAAGCACACCTGGCCCCGGAGTTTTCAGTTAAATGAGCCAAAAGACTCCCTTTGGGGCTTGAAGCAGTTGAAGTTGGAGTTCTGTCTCCTTCAACTGAAAGAATCCCCAAGTAGGACGAGTCACTCACTATTTAGACAAATACAAAAATCACTGGGTGACTGAACATGAATCTAGGAAGTCAATATACTCTCCTCCAGAGCGTAAGAACGAAGGGGAATGACGAATGTGACACATTGGCCAGTGCCTCTCATTGGCCCTGACTCTGGCGGCATTTGGGTGACATGGGCCAAGACCTATGAATGAAAAATGGGACATGGGCCCCTGACCAGACCCTGTGACAGCCTAGTGGAAGAGTGAGGGGAGAAGGAGTGAACTTGAGCAAGTCTTGGAGTGCCAAGCTAAGACGTAAGAAAAGACGGTGCAGGCAGTGGGAGCCACTGAGGGGTCTAGAGCAGGGGCAGTGACCAGAGCAGCCTGGCAGCGTGGGCTGCACTGGACGGACCCTAGGGAGAACCCGGAGCAGGAAGCCAAGCAGTGCCAGCTCGGGCAGCAGGCCCCCACCTGTCCACAGAGGTGTCCATCTGCAGCCGGTTCCCCTGCACCGAGTACTGGATTTTCAGGTTGAAGTGCTGGCGTCAGGGGAGGAAGCAGAGAGGGGCGGTGGCCCCCGTTGGCGCCACCATCGCGAAGACAAAGCCGAGTCCGGCTCTCTGCCCGCGAGGCCCCCAGGAACCGGACCCAGCAGCCTCCTCCCCTCCCCAGGTTCCTTGTCTCTCCCTGTCCTGGGCCAGGACAGCACTCGCAGAAGTACCTGGCACCGCAGAGGGTCCCTGCACATGCCATGCCTCACCCCAGGCCTCCACCTCGGCTGTCACCTTGGCTTGGGCTGTCCCCCATCCCAGTCCCCCGGTCAGCTGCTGCTCAACCTTCAAAACCCGGCTCAGCCATCACCTCCCTGTGGTTTCCCCAGACTGAACCTGGGTCTCTCGGGGCTCTTGTGTCCCCTTGGAGAACTGTCACTGCCCTTGTGGCTGCTACTGGAGGCCAAGGAGGGCCCAGGGGCAGGAGTCCACACTGAGCCTCCTTGGCTGCTCTGTCCACTCCAAGGCTCAGTGGCGGAGCAGGAGTCAGACCCAGGTGACAGTGCCAGACCCAGGTGACAGTGCCCGGGAGGGCAGGGCCCCACAACCGAGGTGGACTAAGAATGCTTTGATCCCTTTCTGGGCTTTCAACTGAAATCCCATCCTCCAGCCCTGAACGTTCATGAGGCTGGGGACCTGTGGGGGACCGCCCACTCACTGTCTCCAGGAGGAACAGGGACACGGGGGGCTTGCCCCGCCGCCGGGCAGTGAAGACCTCCAGGGAGCCGTGGAAGTGCAGCAGGCTCTTGCCGGTCTTCATGGTGACCTTGGGGGGCTTGTTTATCCTGATCTGGGTCACCACGGGCTTGGGCTTGGGATAGGCCTCGGCCACCTGCAGAACCGGCCCAGGCCTTAGACAGTGGCTTCAGGAGCAAGCAGAGTCCCTCAGGGGAGGTGTGATTTCCACCTTGGACCCAGGACGTGGGACAGGCAAAGGGCCGGCAGGTGTCCAGGGAAGAGGAGCAAACACGAGGCTGGGGCTGTTCCTATGTCAGACCCAAACGCTGAGCTGCGTCCCCGTCCAGCGAGGGACTGGGCAGGGTGCGGGGACAGGTCGGGGAGGACTGACACTCACCTCAGGGATGAAGCCAGCCAGGGTCACTGTGGTTTGTGGGGGCAGCTCACCAATCTACAAAATGACAGTGGGAGTTGGGGTCCCCAAGTCCCCGGACCATGCCTCAGCTCAGCAGGTGCAGCCTCAGGCTCCACCTCCTGGCCCGGGGTCAGGGGTCAAGGACACGTTGTTGGAGGGAGGAGCAGGAGGGAGATGGGAGGGGGCAGCCGAAATGGGTGAAGGGCCAGTGGAGGTGGGTGTGGGTGGGAGGGGAGGGGGATGGACAGCTGGGGGGGAGGGGGAGGGGGGAGGGGGTGAGTGGATGCTAAGCTGGTGACATGGACAGTGGGTGGGAAGCGAGAGGTGCGTTCAGGGGTGGAGGGTGGCGAGCAGAACAAGGATGGATTCCTGGGTCGGAGGAGGACAGTGGGTCTGGGCAGGGCAGGTCGGTGGGCGAGTGGATGAGGAGAGCAGCCCTGGACAGTCGGGAGTGGACAGAAGTGTTGGGGGGAGGGGCGGGTGCCCAGAGTCACTGATTCCTTAGTGTGAGGCCCTCTTCTAGGTGTCCTGGAGACGGTATGAAGGGACAGGTGGATGCCAATTGGATGGATAGGACCCAGGACATGAATATGTGCTCACTGGCCAGCTGGGGGGTGGCCGGGTGGCTGGCCAGGACATGACTGGTGGATCAATGGCTGGTGGGTGGGCACTTCAAGGTCCGGGTGAGTGTGGTGGGCACAGGGGTGGGGTGGGGGTGGGCTGATGGGAGTGAAAGGGCAGCCCTGGGTCCCCCCAGCGGAGGTGTCCAGCTGCCCCAGGGCCATCTCAGGACGGACAACTCCGGGCAGAGGCTGGGGAGGCGGGCTCAGGGCTCACCGTCTGGTCCTGGATGTCCACATTGAAGGACTTCTGCAGAAGGGCCAGCTCAGCCGTGAGGAGGGCGGCCGAGAGCAGCAGCTGCGATGACCCCTCGGCATAGCCCCCCGGGATCTCGAGGGGCCCCCCGTCCTCGGCCAGCTTGATGGTTTTGCCCTTCTGCGGCGTCACCTCGGGCTGTGGGGTGGCCGGGAGGGAGACACAGCCGTGAGAGCCCGTGGCCAGGGGGCCCAAGCCAAGCCCCAGTCAGCAGGCCATGCAGCGTCCGAGCCAGGGTGGCCGCAGAGACCCCCGTGGACAGCGGGTGGGCTGAGGCCCAAGATTGAGAAGGGAGCCGGTCCCCAGGCCACTGGGCGTCTCCCTCAGGGGGCAACCTCAGCAGGCCTCACTGACCGGCTGGGGCCTCTCTCTCCAGGATACGATTCCTGCCGCACCCTCAGGAGAAAGAGGAGGGGACCAGCCCCACGGGACCCCAGGAGCCCACTGCAGGAAGACGTCATGGGGCCATGACCTCTAGGAGTCTTCTTCCTGGTCCTGGAAGATGCATCTCACCTTGTCACCTGGGGCCCTGGAGGCCACCGACTCCCGTGGGACCCTAGCCAAGCCCTGCTCGTCCCCTTCTCTGTGTCCCCACCTGTGTGCCAGCCTTGGGACAACACGAGCAGCCCCTGCAGCCAGCCAGGGGCTCCACGGTCATGCTTAGAGCAGAGACAGAGAGGACCCTGGTGACAGGTCCTCCGCCGACCCCTGCCCGGGGGAAAGGCCCCACCCCCGGGTCCAGTGAGCCAAGGCCACCCCCGGGCCCAGCACTCACGCTGAAGTCCACCCGGATATGGCTGGCCGTGGTGGCCGGTGTGGACATCAGGGCGTACTTGACAGTGCCCATCTGGCCCACGGGCATGGGGTCTGTGCAGAGGAGGTTCCACTCAGAGAGATGCCAGTCCCGGGGGGCCCCCCAGAAAAGCCGGCTCCAGCCAGCTGCTCCCGGAACCTGTCCCTCTGTGTGACCCCAGGCAGATTCTTAGCATCTCTGGGCCTCAGAGACTTCAGGGCAGGAGGGGCCCAGCCGGAGCCCCTCCCATCTGCAGGCACAGAGGCTTCACCCAGGGCCTGATCTCACAGCCAGGGGGGCAGGGCAGGGCTACCAGGGGCTTGACAGATGAGCAGAGCCAGGCCTGGTGGCTTTTCCCAGGCCACACTGCTGGGGACAATCCAAGCCATTGAGATTTCCTTTCTCTCATACTGGGGAGCCCCCTGGGCCCCCAAATGATGTAGGAAGCAGATCCCATTGGCCTCATACACCACGAGGACACGAGGCTGTGGCCCAGCACAGCGTGGCTACTGTCCCTAGCCGGGAGGGGTGGCTAGGGACACTCACCACTGAGTCTGGCCCACTTCTGGTTCACGTACACCAGGACTGCGTCAATGGCTGGACACAGCTGGAACAGAGAGGGCCCTGGGTGAGCGGGTCCCTGCAGGGGGCCTCGCCCTCCAGCTCAGGGTTCTGTGGGGACCCCAGGCACCTGTCCAGTCCAAGGACGTGTGGGAAAACTGAAGCCCAGGTCACACGGAAGCCACTGCGAGAGTCTGTACTAGAATGCAGAGCCCCTGACCAGAGCCTGAAAAGTCAGCGAGGTGTCCCTCCCAGGGCCTGGTCATCTGAGCAGGAGCAAGCCCCGTTGCTTCCTCCACCCGTGCTCAGAGTGGCCATCTCTAGCTGACCACGGCATTCCTCCCGCCAAGCCTGTGCCACCCAGCAAGGAAGGCTGAGGCCACTCGGGCTGCTCACCATGCCGGGGAGGACCTTGTGCAGGGTGTTGTCCAGGAACTTGTTGACCATCTTGGGCAGCATGCTGGACGTGAGCACCGGAGCATGGGCCAGTGGCAGGAGGTCAGGCACAGGACACGAAGGGACAAGGTTAAGGAGGCTTGGTGCTCAGGAAGCGGGATGCAGGGGACAGTAGCAGGGTGGACCGGCCTCCCCGCCCCGCTGCAGAGCCCCTCACTTGCTGGGCAGGTTGGTCTTCACGCTGACCAGGGTGATCTCACAGCCCTCGCTCCTGAACACGGGGAGGCCCGTCTCCTCCTCCTGCAGGAGCCGGTCGGTGGCTGTGATGTTCAGGACGATGATGATCTCCATGTTCCCTCCCATGAAACTGGAGGAGGGCGCAGGTCAGCATCGTGGGCATCTCCCATCCAGGGCCACTTCCCTGTCCCCTCTTTGCCCACGATCTCAGCAGCTCTGCAAGGGAGGAGGGCAAGGAACCCCAGCCACGGGACAGGAAAGGTGATGGGACCCACACCAGGGCCCCCCCTCTTCTCTGGTGAACTCCTACACGTCCTTCAGAACCCGCTCATGTTCCCAGAGCCTCTCCCGGCCCCCTGGCTCCTGCTCAGCAGCTTCTTCTAGAGCATCATGCCGTGCCCCTTGGTGCTGAGCCTGATTCCCTCAAAGCAGCAACCAGGTCCGATCATCTCAGATCCCAGCACCCAGAGCACACAGTAGGTGCACAATAAGTGTGCATGTAAGAGTGAGACGGGGAGGCCACTCTCCTCCCCCTTCAGTCCCTGACAGACGCACCTCTTTCCCGTGATGGTCATGCCCGTGGACACACACTGGAAGATGCCCACTTCAGGGACGAAGTTCAGCGTGATGACAGGGAGCTGGACGTCCTTGACCTTCATGCTGGGAGAGAACAGGCACCCCCCAGTGAGGCCTGAGCAGGCAAGACAGACCCTCGGCCTCTCCTTGCCTGGCAGGGAGGCCTTGGGTAGCCTTCTCTCCGTGTCACAGGGATGAGCCTGCCCTGAGGGGACATCCCAGAATGTGAGCAAAATCTGAGTGTGAACCAATGGTACATGGAAAGCACTCATTGTCTGTGAGGCGAGACGCAGGGCTGACGCTGTGTGACATCTGACTGTTCCCTCCCCTCCTGTGGGGAACAAAATAGGGAGGTTTGCCCAGATCAAGGCTTCTGGTGGGTGGAAGGAAGCAGGACGGTCCCCAGGTGTGGCTGGCTGGCTGGCCTGTGCGCTGATGAAATGTTTAGTAGCACTCTGACCTCAACCCACTAGATTCTGGTAACACTCCCCCACTCGCCCGCAAGTGAGTGTCTCCAGACATTGCCAAATGTCCCCTTGGAGGCACAGCCAGCCCTGGATGAGAATCACCAGTCGAGATCCAAGGTAACCAAGATGTGTGTGCCAACCTCCCCCTGCCTACCCTGAGCTCTTGGCAGACATTACTAATGGATCACAGTCCTATTTCCTGCTAAGTCCCAATAGAACCTGGGACCCTCCCCAGTGCCTCGGGCCAGCAGCCCCGAGCCATCGATGACCGAGTCTTCCTGTCATCAAATGAGAGCTGAC